AGACCTTTCTGACTTACGAAGTCTTTCACTTTGGCTAATGGGGTAAGATGTTATTCTCATCCCTGTATGAGCACCACGTACTCTTCTCTACAATTCTTTTGTGTAGTTCTTTCCCCAGGCCGGGTAATTTCCTCACACTTATGTATTGATTAGTATGCTGCTGGATACTTAAAGGAAACCTTCTTGGGTCTCCAGAGTTGTCTTTCTATATAACGCTCTCCATTCTGTTACTTTCTCCCACAAATTCTAACTGCTTTGGTCTCCTTGGACTCTTTGCTTTGTCTCCTCAAGTTAGGGAATCTACTGAGTTCTACCAGTGTTCCCACTTCCAAAGCTGTAGCCTGGAAACTCTATCAAGGCAGTCAGCTGGGGCAATGTTGAGGCTTACCTGGTTTGTTTCCTGGGTCTACAGAATTGCTGTCCTTGTTTGCCTGATGTCCAATATCTTAAAAACCATGGTTTCATCTGACTTTTTCATTGTTTTAGGCAGAATATTAAATCTGATTCCTGTTATTTCATTTTTGTCAGAGGGTTTGGCAGAAGTCTTGGTGCTGGGCTCTCAATTCAGCTCTGCAATTACATAGAGCTAAGCCAGCTTTTGACCCCTTCTATGGGAATGCAGTTAAGCACCTCTAATTCTGATTTCTCCTCTCCCTACAACCTCCACAGCCACTTGATTCCTAGAGGTTGGATGCGCTCTGCTATTGTCTTACAATTTTCTCCCAAGCAGCTGACACTCATTTTGTGAGTTTGCTACTGGCTGTTTGATGTTACCTGTGCAGGCAAAAATAATCTATGTCAAGATTATTGCCTGGGTGAGAGAGAATATAAGATATTACTGATTGTGAGATGCATTCCCATTTCACCTATGTTAAAGCAGGAAAAGTTGTCCCTCTTGGAATCAATGAAATAGGGTATTTTGACAAGAACTTTTTAAGTGAGTAGGTATCAAGATGAAGTAGAGGATGGCTCCAAGGTTTCTGGCCTAGGCAAACAGAAGGATGAGGTTCTCCAGATGGGAATGAGGAGGGCATCTTGTTTGGCCTGTCCAGTATATATCTTCCGTTGTACAATTACAGATATCATATACTAGGGAGAAAATGGAAAGGCTCAAATGCCCAACTTCTTATTTTGTGGGATATATTTTAGGATTAATAAAACTGGCATGAAGATGTAAGATATACCATTTAAACCTCCTCAAGTTTGGCAGACTATTTTTATATGTAGCCAATTGTATTTTTAAATGGGTTTTTCATTTTTAAAAATAAAATTATGTATCAGCTCCATGGGCATAGAGGGAAGAGTCTTTAAAAACATGAACTTACCAATAGATCTAAAAATAAGATAAACTCAGATATCAGAATAGGAAATTCTGTCTTTGCAAAATATTATTGTCATCACCTTTCTCTGATACAGCAGTGAATCACATGGAATATCCACATGACAAGATTTTTTAATGAATATAAAATGTTCTATATAGAAAGTTGTGGGACATACATATAGGTAGATTATTTTTTAATAACTCTTTTAAGTACAATCCTTGGGAACAATTTTCTTGAAAAAGAACATTTGCAACCCATATCTGTGAAATGACAGAATTTATGATTCCCGTGGAAAGTTTGTCCATTACATGGAGGAAGGGGTTATCTGGTATCTGAAGCAGATCATTTAGAATTGTTGACTAATAAGCTAGAAATATGTCCTGAAGATGGCATCATGGTTCAGTTAACAAAGCCAGAACAGATTAGGACAGATGCACTCGATCCTAGAACAGTGTGCCTTTGTAGGAAAGGGCACCCAGAGGAATGTTTAGCACAGTGGGAGAGGATTGTGGCCCCTGCCTCACCAGCTATACTAATGGTATTCATCACCAAGGAGGCAGGTGTTGCACCAGATCGCTGCCACATCCTGAGAGATCTTACAACAGTCTGTGTACAACATTGTAATAGATGCCAAATAGAAGCATCTTCCAATCCGTCCCAAATCATTGAGGATTTATCGGCAAATGAGACAAGTTTTAATACATAAACAACTCAAAAGTGGCTTTTTATGAACGTGCAGAAAATGAATTTTTTAATTGTTTTTCCTACTTTGTTTTTTGTTAAATTAACAGTAGTGTTCCTTAAAGTATGTTCTAAGATATATTAGCTGATTTTAACAGTTGACACGTAAGACAGTTTTTCTGGATAAACACCTTAGGTATACACTGGATTAAACAGCGTGAAATGGGTTTCTTTGGTGCAGGGCTCCTAAAAAATGAATGCATGTGCTTTGGGAATTTCATCTGTTGGGTATAGTATGTTATATTTCCCCTGTGTTTTATCTTAGATCCCTTTTTCAGGACCATCTTGTGGGGATGATGCTTTGTTTGTCTTCTTTGTCACTGAATCCCTATTACCTAGCATGGAGCCTGGTAATAAAAGACACTCAAATAACATTTGTGGAATAAAGTAATGAATTTACAGATCACTTAATGACTTGCCAGGGGTCCATCAGCCCTTTTTAGAATAATATATAAGAGAAGGCTGAGGCACTTCCTAGCTCTGTGCCATGTGCTGCCAACTGCTGGAGTTTGTACCAGCCTGAGTTTGCTCCATTTCTCTTAGGTGAGTGCAAGGGGCATCAGAAAATAGTCTTTTACCTGGTCTACTTTCTCCATATGCCCTCCCCCTCAACAACTTTCTAGCAGGTTCTTCTCTTGTTTTTGGGGAGCATGCAAATGTTACCACACCCTGTCTTGTTTAGGGAGCATTCAGATATTACTGCATCAGCTAAAAGCTAGGGTATTAATGCCCCAGTGTGTGGAATGTGAGTCACTTCCCAGCAGAGCAAGGGGGAGGCCACATGAGCTGTGTGTGGGTCAGAAGACTGCTGCTGAGCATGGCAGGGCCAAACAGAAAGCTTCCCTTTTACTTGCACTTTATTTGACCTGTGGGTAAACAAAGACTTTCTATTTCTAGAAAGTCCTATTGTTTTAACTGCTCTGTGTTTCTTTTGCAAACTTAAAAAGTCATGTCTTTATGCAAGACATTTAAAGCTCTGTGGGCCCAGTCTTAACCTTTTTGTTGTTGTTATTCCTTTTCTATAGTCTTGTTACTTTTTTTGTTGTTGTTCGTATATGTCACAAACCCTTAACTCTCTGAAATTCAACAATGTATGACATTAAAAACAGCTATAAGATTTTAGCATAAGTAGAATATTCAACTTCGTAGAGAACTTGGTAATGTAACCTCTGCAGGGAAGGAATTGGGAGCATATAGTTCTTCTTTCTCATTCAACAGGTAATATGCTAGAGGTCTTGGAGAGTTGAAACACAATAAAAAATAAATAAGTCTTTCAGTCCCTGTCCTTCAAGAGATTTGGGATAGAGGGAGGAAAATAATGTTATAGAACACGTGCTGTGTTCCAGGCCGCATTTATATGTCTAGATTCATGTCTATATTTATATCATAACAATAGTATGAGGCAAGTTTTGTTTTCCCTGTTTTATAAACAAGAAAACTGAGGATCAGAGAAGTCAGGTAACTTCTGAGATTCACTGATTTAAACTAAATTCTCCTAAATGTAGGATGATAATATTAAGGTTCAGAGAAATTGAGTCACAATTGGGATTCTCTTATTTAACTTAAATCCTTCCAATGATAGGATAATAATGTACACCATTTAAAAAATATGTTTGAACAGGCCACGTGCAGTGGCTTACACCTGAGTCCCAGCACGTTGGGAGGCCGACGCAGGTGGATTGCTTGTGCCCAGGAGTTCAAGACCAGCCTGGGCAACATGGTAAAACCATATCTCTACAAAAATACAAAAATTGGCTGTGCATGGTGGTGCTCACCTGTAGTCCCAGCCACTGGGGGTGCTGAAGTGGGAGGATCTCTTGAGCCGAGGAAGCTGAGGCTGCAGTGAGCCGTGATCGTGCCACTGCACTCAAGCCTGAATGAATAAGTGAGACTCTATCTCAAAATAACAACAATAATAATAAATAAAAAGATACGTATGAACAAAGAATCACACAGGGCTTCTGAATATGCTGGTAAGTTTTTAAAACCCGCCTTTCTCTTATCTTCTGGAGTACCTTCCTATCCATTTGATCTTGGACTATGCATTATACTTCCCAGAGACTTCATTTCTTCATCGGAAAATCCTCTGTGCCTATGTCAGAAGTTTTGGGTGAGGGAGTAAATAGTATAATTTAGGTGAAAGTGAAACTCTGCAGTGTCATATAAAGATAAGAGACTGTCATTACAAATGTAGTTCTAAATAAGAATGCCTATGATGGTTTGAGATGCATGTAATATAGCTCTAATTTTTTTTAATGTCTGCTTCTCATGACATTTAAGCTCAATTTATAAATGGAGTGAAAAGAAATCCATTATAAAGTGATCTGTGGTTCAGTCAATTTTTAAAAAATATTTTAAAATAGAGTGTGTGTAGAGAAATGTTAAGAAACATTTATGGGGTACTCACTGCATATAGTATTAGGGATAGATATTGTGAAGGATATTTAAGAATTAGAAGGCACGATTTCCACCCATGGAGTGTTCAGAACGTGCAAGTATGTCTTCCCCTCCTCTTATCTGTTCTACTCATCCTATACTCCGCTGGAGAGAAGTCCAGATTTTGATATAATAAATTCATCCTTTGAACATTAGAATTTATTTTTATGTTTGAATTCAACACAAGTGTTTCTGATCATATAAGACCAGATTTAAAATCAAAAGTGAAAACTTACAAATCAGTTTTTCAATATATTAAAATTCCTATTTTTTAAAAAGGCCAAATCCTCCAGGCATTAACTAGTAACTAGCATCTTTGTCATATTTTAGTTTGAGGAAATTTGGAAATGTTGATTTCTAAATATCGGCCTTCACATTTCAAACACTTAAAAAACTGTCATTTTTAAAGGTATGTAAGTCAGTGCCTTTATTTGGAAGGCAATCATCCTTAATTTGGTGTCAAGTGACATGCTTTTGGAACTTTGCTTTGTTTCTCTCTAGTGGATGATACTGTGGTTGCAATTCCCTATGGAAGCAGACATATTCGCCTTGTCTTAAAAGGTCCTGATCACTTGTGTAAGTAACTCTGTTGTTTTCCTTTGGGGATTGGGAATTGTCGTCATTATTATTTATTTTGTGTTCCCAGAAAAGATTAAAACACAATAATATAAATCTTTCTACTCTATCATAATATGATATTTTGAGTGCTTCTGTTTATCTTTTAGCTGCCTGATGAGATGGCAGAAACCTCTGTGGTAATTATCTCTAACCACAGTTATCCTGAGAAACACAAAATAGATGCTCCCAAAGGGTTGTTCATGGGTTAAGCACATGTTCATGTTCTTGGGATTATTAGATCTCATTCTCTCTCTTCTTCCTTTCCAATCTCAATCTTTTCTTTTTTTTGCCTTCCCTCTTCTTTTTTCTTTCTAGCCCTCCCTCTGTCTCCTTCATTCTTTCTCTTTTTTTACCTACTCTCACGTTTCATTACTTCATCGATCCAGAGGAACAGGGAAACACCGAACAACCTTAACACTGTATCATTTAAAGAAAACCATCATGGTAAAATTAAGCATCCCATGCATTAAAGAAAATCCAGGCCCTCATATCTTAAAGATAGCCACTGGGATTCAGGACTGAATGGTTATCATAACCCCAAAGATCAAATGGCCGCGGGGCACCTCCAGGGTTTGTGCAAGAATTGATCTTCAGTCATGCCAAGACAGCAGTACAGAGCCACCTCTTTCTTATTATTTAGTGTTGTTTAGATATAGACCCATAAATTACAAGAAGAAAATTATAGGCTATAAACAAATAAAAGGATGGGAGATGATATGGTAGCATTTTCTGTAAAATTCAGTTCCACCGAAGGCTTCACTTCAGTGGGTTCCTTGAGCATTTCTGATCTCCTCGACTGTGATTGTTCCTGGTTTTCCACAAAGCCATCTATCATCTGTCCTTTCTACCCTCTCACGCAAATGCTTGTGAAACCAAATTTAAATAGCAAGCATCACTTTTTACCAATGGGATTATGAATGAAATCATGCTAAAAAGGCAAACATGAGGAAGACAAATTGAAGCTCATAAAAGTCAATAGAGCCTACTTTAGTGTTTCTAAAAATAAAAATAAACACATTTAATGGAAGAGGTGGGATTTGAAAGGTCATGTGAAGTAAAGGAATAAGTGAGGTACAGTTCAGGCAAAACCAAAAAATGCTGATAAGTCACCTTCTATGGATTCAAGTTTTTTTCTAATCCTGAACAGCCCTGTAAAATATAGTATTCACATGTCAAAAGATAACATATGTAGGTGTATTATTACCATTCAAATGATTCATTATTCCCCATTTGAGAATTGGAGAGGGCTCACTTCTGATGTAACAACCCCACTCAATAACAGTACTTTTGTGAGCAGTGATGGATACTGAAATAAAATACTCAGGCCAAGATTATCACCAGTGGGGGACTGACTCTTCATTGCAGAAGAAAGAACCCATAGGAATAGATTTAAGAGAGAAATTTATTTTTATAAATGTGTTAGTCTCCTAGATTTCCTAATTATGTGATCACAAAGAAGCTGAAGAATTGGCCTTGTTTGATTTAATTATCCTAAGGATTTGATGAAAGCAAAACTGGAATCTGCTTTTCTGTCCCAACAAACATACTGCTGGTAGCATATGTACAGCTAAATCATTTTTTCTTGTGTGTTCTTTTTCTTGTATTTGATGTACAATTCAGCAAAATGAATGTGGGGGTAAGGATACCCTGTTTCTCTTGCAGTTCTTTTGCCCTTCACTCCCAGAAGCTGGTACAGTATGAAACCAACCTGAAATATTTTGGACCAAACCAGAATAAGACGAGGCGATCTAGTCTACCCCCATGGTTAATCTTTAATCTTTAATTAGGACAGCTGCAAGTCTCTTGATAAAATGGAAGCAGATGCTCAGATCAGGCCTACACCTGCAGGATTTTTCTAAAACTAAGTTAATTCATGTTCTAGAAAGGGTTCTACAACTGCCGGTGGGGCAGTTTGAGGAATAAAGGCTGGAGGAAGGAAATTCAGGGCAGTTGCTTTCCCCTGATGATAACAACTGTGATTTCCTCACTCCGGTATTCCCTTGATGTGCCCTATATTCTTCAGTGGGATCTCCTCTGCACTGAGGTAGGGGAGGGAAGCCTGGCCTACTCTGGAAAAAGCGTTTGACAGACTTCATCTGAGAGTCACTGGGCATTTCACTGAACACCAAGATTTTCCAGATGTTGGTATTCCCTGCAGTAGGCAACTACAAGCAGACCACCTCTACAACAATGTAATACAGATAGTTTTAGTACTTGAGTACCTTCAGAGACCTTAAAATTGTTTTAACCCAGAACCCCACCCAAGCACTACATTTTTCTGCTGAAGTATCTCTGCTGAAACCAAACGTTCTTGTCAAGTTTTAGAAACCATTTGCCTTAGTCCATCTACCTTTCTTCATGCAACACAACAGACAGTTGTTCTAAATCACCCCTCAGTCACATGAGAACTTAGTCTTCTCTGAATCACACGTCATAATTACCATCATCCCCAGCATGCTCTGATTTTCTACCACAAAACATGCTTCATAGGCTTTGTCATTGGCCAAATCTGGATGTGAATGCTCCAGAAATAAAGGGTTTTTTTTTCTATCTTAAGCACTTACGAAATACTCTATATGTGCATAAAGCCGAATTGTGTCAAAATGGATTTTAAAAAGAGAGGATACTGAAAATGACAGCTCCTGTTCTTAAGTCACTATTGTTTCTTCAGTTTGCACAATAGCACCAGTGCAGTAAGTAACCAGAAAGTATAAGTAAACACAGGTTAATGCATGAATATAAAGTCATATAGGTACTGAAGTAACTCAGAGATGCACCTGAGTCTTCTAGAGCAAAAAGAAAACTAGAGGGTATCCTAGGCTGAGGGCCTTCAAGACTGAAGTCAAAAAGATACGTATGAGAATTGGTTTAGTCAAAGGAATAGGGTTGCAGTAAATAAGGTCATCTGGCGAGTCAAAGATTTTTTCTGACAGGGACCCTTGAATGCTTGGCTAATGAGTTTTAAAATAATTTCATTTGCAGCATAAATTCCTATGTGACTCAGCAGTGCCAGTAAATTTTGTTGATATCACAATTTCAATTTTGTCAGCTATATAAAGAAGGATGTCTCCCTTACCTACCTCTAAACGTTGCTGCATGAAATGTGCTTGCCTGTAGTTGCCCCAAGAACATCTTTCTCTCATCTTCATGTGTTTGATTATGCAGATCTGGAAACCAAAAGCCTCCAGGGGGCTAAAGGTGAAAACAGTCTCAGCTCCACAGGAACTTTTCTTGTTGACAATTCTAGTGTGGATTTCCAGAAATTTCCAGACAAAGAAATACTGAGAATGGCTGGACCACTTACAGCAGATTTCATTATCAAGGTGAGCCCAATTTAGACACCTCCTTTGCAAGCCACATCCAAACTGATGTTACTTATAATTTCCTGAGCAGAGAGAGACTTTAGGTTCTGACATATGTTTGGAAAGCCTGTGTGTTACCCAGGAAATGTTTAATCTGAGGGTGTTAAGCTAGCTGCATCTTGGACTTTATGAGAACATATGATATTTTAAGGTCATAGGAAATCTTTACTATATGATTAATAAAATATTATGTAATAATAAAATAACCCCACCTAAGAAGCCAATGTGTCATAAGTTGGTGGCTACAGATTGTTTTTAAAAGAGTTAAGATACAGTTGTCAGCTTATATAGGCTATCTTCAGTAAAAGAGAAATACAGACCGATGATCCACAGACTTGGTCAACTCATCATGCTTCCAATGGCAAGTTCTGTTTTCTTTTGTACTGGCAAGAAAACTAAGTTGTTTCCTTCTATCAGGGCCTCCCTACTCTTCAAGGTAATATAAAACACATTGCTGGAAGCAACGTGCACGTTCTGCTGGAAAAATGCACACACTAGAAGAACATTTGGGAATCACAATAAAATAAAACATATTTTTTCCTTCAGTAGGTCAGGAGGACCTGAAGGATTTCAGCTGTAAAGCTGTAAAACTTGTAATGTATCCAGGACTCCATAAATTTTTCATCATGGGACCTGGAGCCAGAGGACATTTGATTTAAGCTAAAGCTTGATAGCCCCATGGCAGCTGGAAGTAAGAGTGCATCTAAGAAAATGCGATAGGCAGTGAGGTTGGAGGGAGAAAGGTTCCAGAATACTGTCCTCTGTTTCCATCTGCATGGTAGTTCTTTTTAATCCAGTCCAGACGCCAGCCACGTGAACGTGAGCAAGAAGCTACAAGCCATCAGAGGTAGCTCACGATAGAAATGATGCTGTAGGTAGTTAAATGATTTCCGTTAAGCGAGAAAATCCAGTAAAGAAGTGAAAGATGTCTTTATTCTTTGAAGCCCCTGGAGTACCATTAAATAGAACATATATACTATAGTAATTTCCCTAATGGCCTTGTCAGAGTTAATGCACATGCTGAAATTATAGAACTGGATTCAAGCAATATCACATTGGAACAGCTCACATCATTGTCAAGTGTGTTACATCTATCCAGTTGCCTTCTGCACCTCACCACTTGGATAACCCAGAGACACAAGCCTGACACGCCTAAGTTAAACTTGTCTAGCCCCAGAAACCTACTTTATCATCTTTATTTTTTAAATCTTGCAAATACACTGTCTACCCAGATAAGTCAGAAACCTTTGATTCACCCTGTTTTTCCCTTCTATATGCCACCAGTCAGACTTCATCCAAACTGTGTCTCAAGATTGGTCTTTCTTCTCCATCCTTCTCCTTCTCCCACTGTGTTAGTGCAGGCCTGTACATTTTCTTATCTGAACTAGTACCATGGACTCTGGTTTCCCAGCCTCTGATTTCATTGCCTATATTACCTTCAGAGTGCATTTTGTAAATCCCCTTTTTCTAATCTTTCATAACCCCTCACCATCATTCATTGCCTCTAGGTTAGATCCATAGCGCAGCATCTGTTATTCTCGCTAAGCTTGATTGTGCCCACCTTTCCAACCTCACCTTTGACTTTTCCCCTTTTGTTTCAGCCCTGAATGATGGGCAGGTCCCCCAGCACCTTATAGTCTCATAACCCATTACCTTTGCATGATGCTGTGCCTTCTACCTGGAGTGCTCTTATCTTGTCATCTTCCATTCTCTTCACTGCCTCTTATTTTTCCTTGAAGACCTCCTTCTAGGAATATTCTGTGATTCTACCCCAAATTTCTATCTATATCTCCCCACCTCTGTATTCCTTGAGGGAAGACCTGAATTGTATTTGTCTTCCTATCTCCATAAGAAGAACCTAATAAGCACTAACAAGTGCTGGATGAATAAAGAATTTTTGCCACACATCAATTGTTTAAGTAGAGCAGGTGCTGACATCTCTATTACACCCACAAGGACACTTTGCTTCAGGAGAGCTGAGTGACTTTCCTGAGTTCACAATGATGGGAAGCCAGGACTAAGAATCACATCTCTTTACTTTTGGTCCAGAATGCTTTTAATAGTCTGTGTTGCTTCTAAGAGTATATATCTTTATCTTCGATGCTTCATTAGAAAATACTGGGAATCAAATAAATGTAAAGTTATTCTAAGATAGATTATGTAATTCTTAAAGTTAATTTGCTTAAACTTTAAAATGAGCCAGGTAATTTAATAATATTTAGAAAAAAATAGGAAAATTATCTTTTTTCCTGGTTCTTCATAATGAAACAACTTTCTCTTCCCTAATTTTCTTCAGGGAAATAGCCAAAAATAAGATATTACTATTGATTAGTTATCATTTTTCATGATGTGTTACAGTTATACATATCACATGAACTAAACTTTCAGTAGCATTCAAAGTATAGTCTCTTTTGTATTATGTATATAATACATATATACAGTTGATTAATCAAATCCTCTTTATGGATATAAATGGCCATGTCCCCAAGTCTCAAAACAATTTCACCCTGATAAACATGATTATAAACACTGAAGTCCATCTTCACAATCAGCAAAATAGCATCATCCTTGAGATAAGGTCATTACTCTGGTGATCTGGTGGTATGGTCAGGTGATTCAGAAAGTGAAATAAACCAAACATATAGCAGAAAGCCATCAGTGTGGTGCTTACGTAGAGGCCATGAGTGTGTGTCTTCACAGAGAGCTGTGCAACAGCTTTTTGAAGATTTTTTTTTAAAGGCATGGCAGGGTTTTATTTTTGAGATGTGGGCATGTCTTTTAAAACAGTCTAATTGAAATAAGTTCTCTTTTATTTTTTATTAATTTTTAATTGACAAGTAAAAATTGTACATATTCATCATATCCAACATGTTTTCAAACATGCATACTTTGTGGAACAGCTGAACTGAGCTAATTAACTTACGTATTGCTTCACATATTTATCAGTTTCTTATGTGGAAGACACTTAAAATCTATCTCTTGGCAATTTCCACAAATGCAATACATTGTTATTAACTGTAGCCACCATGTTGTAGGTAGATCTCTTGAAATTATTCCTCCTAACTGAAATTTTATATCCTTCGACCAACATTTCCCCCACAATTCACACCCACCCCGACCCCTCAGCAGCCAGCATTCTACTCTGTGTTTCTATTAGGTCAATTGTTTTAGATTGGACATAGAAGTATTATTAATATCACGCAGTATTTGTCCTTCTGGGCCTAGTTTATTTCATTTAACGTAATGTTCCCCAGGTTCAACCACATTGTCAAATGACAGGTTTTTCTTCTTTTTTAAGGCTGAATAGTATTCCATTGTGCATATATACTACATTTTGTTTATCTGTTGATGAACACCTAGGTTGATGTCACATCTTGGCTATTGTACTAGTGCTACATGGAACATGAGAGTACAGATATCTCTTCAACATACTGATTTCATTTCTTTTGAATATATATCAAGGAGTGAGATTGCTGGATCATATGGTAGTTCTATTTTTCAAACTTTTTAAAGAAATATTTATACTATTTTATACAATGGCTGAATCAATTTACATTCTTACCCATAGTATCCAAGGGGTTCCTTTTCTCTACATCCTTGCCAACACTTATCTTTAGTCTTTTTGATTACAGAAATTCTATCAGGTGTAAGGTGATATTATAGTATTTGTTGCCTTTCCCTGATGATTAATGATGTTGAGCATTTTTAAATATACCTGTTGACCATTTGTTTGCCCTCTTTTGAGAAAAATCTATTCAGATCCTTTGTTCATCTTTCAATCAGATTTTTTTCTTGCTATTGAGTTGTTTGAGGTTCTTATATATTTTGGATATTAACCCCTTATCACGTGTGTGATTTGCAAATTTTTTTTCCATTCTCTAGATTGTCTCTTCACTTTGTTGATTGTTTCCTTTGCTGTGCAGAAGCTTTTTAGTTTGATGTAATAATCAAAACAACATGGTACCAGTCTAAAACCAGACACATAGACCAATGAAACAGAAGAAAGCCCAACTGTAGCCCAGCACAGGTATTCTAAGCACATTTAAGGTAGATGTGGAGAAGCTGGGTTGTTTGGTAGGTGAGATGTATTAAATGCATTTTCAACTTATAACATTTTCAACTTATGATGGGTTTATTGGGATATAACCCCACTGTAAGTTGAGGAGCATCTGTAATCAATTCCTTTATCTACTGGAAGCTGAGCTTTGGTAAACGTTTGATCCCAGGTTGGTTTCGCCCTGACATCCAGCCTGTTTCTAGACAGCCTCCCCATTTCAGCCAACCCATGCTCATTAAAGGGAAAACTATTGTCCTATGCCATGTGTTCTTGAGAGAAAAAGTTTAAGTCAACTGCAGGAAAGAAAATAAGTGAAAAGTAAGTGGTGGTTCATTTTCCTACCCAACTTTTACAGGGAGTGACTCTGCCAATAAATATGCCTCTTTTGCTGACTGATGCCAAGAGTTTAGAACTGAGCTAATTAGAATATACTGCATTTCTCATTGGATTTCACACATTGTTTTGCCAATCACACAGCGAGGTTTAGGATGCAGGGACAGAGAACTGGTTCCTCATCTTTCTTTCACTCCTGAGAGTTGCAGATTCCTGCCCAATCCTGCCTCACTCCCTACCACCTACAAACCAAGCTCGGCTCTGGTCACTGGTCTCCTGTCCTCCCTCTTCCCCATCTGACCACTGGGACAGTCCTCAAGTAGGCTGTAGTCTGCTTTGCCACTTAGCATCTCCTTGACAAATCTTTGCCACCATCTTTGTTCTTTAGACAACATTATACCTGTTGTTTCCAGAGAAGCATCTCTGATCTACTGCCCTACTCAAGGGCTGTGGGCAGCATTAATCATAACCCTGAGCTAGGTAGGCTAAGCACAGTGGCTCATGCCTAGAATCCAGAACTCCAGGGAGCTGAGGCAGGATTGCTCGAGACCAGGAGTTTGAGATTAGCCTGGGCAATTTAGTAAGACCTCATCTCTATTAAAAAGAAAAAAAAAAAATCTGAGCTAGGAGCCTATGGGCTGAACTGCACTATTTTCTAATATGGAGGTCTGGAGTTCTAGAAAGACTAGAAAACTCTATAAAAAGTGTAAAGGTAAAGTTGGGTACTAACATTTTTTAAAATTATTTTTAATCTGTTAATGCCTAATCTTAGCATTTCCAACTCTTAAAATTATCAGGCTTGTTATCTGTGAGTAATAGTACTATTATGTTTTTTGTTTACATATATGTTTTTATTTACATAATCAAAAAATATATCACAGAAATTAAAAGAAAGCTAAAGAGATGTAGAAAGGGGGATTCTAACTAAATACAGATCCTAGGGATTGGGATTCCTACACATATTTGAAGACAAGAGTGTTGAAATTAAGTTGTGTACAATTTGTACATATATAAAGGCACTTAAAAAAACTGAAAAAAATTATCAGGTATTTTAAACAACGAGATGACTGCCTCTGTTGCATAGTAAGTAGCATTTTGGCAAGCCCCCTTCACTGTACTATCCTGCCTAAAAAGACAGCCTTCCAAGGAGGGTAGAAGTTACTCTTGGGGCTAGGCGCGGTGGCTTATGTCTGTAATCCCAACACTTTGCGAGGCTGAGGTGGGTGGCTCACCTGAGGCCAGGAGTTTGAGACCTACCTGGCCAACATGGAAACACCCTGTCTCTATTAAAAATATAAAAAATTAGCCAGGCATGTTGATGGGCACCTGTAATCCCAGATACTCAGGAAGTTGAGGCAAGAGAATCACTTGAGGAGGCTGGGCGCAGTGGCTCAAGCCTGTAATCCCAGCACTTTGGGAGGCCGAGGCGGGAGGATCACGAGGTCAAGAGATCAAGACCATCCTGGCCAACATGGTGAAACCCTGTCTCTACTAAAAATACAAAAATTAGCTGGGTGTGGTGGTGCGCCTGTAGTCCTAGCTACTCGGGAGGCTGAGGCAGGAGAATTACGTGAACCCAGGAGGCAGAGGTTGCAGAGAACCAAGATGGCGCCACTGCACTCCAGCCTGGTGCCTGGCAACAGAGTGAGGCTCTGTCAAAAAAAAAAAAAAAAAGAATCGCTTGAACCCGAGTGGCGGAGGTTGCAGTGCGCCGAGATCGCACCACTGCACTCCAGCCTGGGTGACACTCCCTCTCAAAAAAAAAAAAGTGCTCTTGGATAAACATTGTTTTGTAATAATAGTTTCCTTTTATGAATTTTATCGTTTGATGATAAAATCAAGTGATCAGCAACATCTTCAAGGAAACTGCTGGCAGATGTATATAAAAAGGTAATGACTCATCAAAGAATTTATCACAAATAATAGTTTGAAATTCCAAAAGTACCTGAAAGGTATATAATTCAATTGTTTGTTCATTCATGCATTCATTTATTCAGCCATTGTTTGGATACCTACTAGTGCCAGACATTGTAGATGATGCTGAAGAGTGATGAGCAGGATAAATGTACCTGCCTTCATGGAGTTTACAGAATATGAAGGAGAAAGATGATAAGATAATAATTATTTTAAAAGTAGGTATTTATAGATCTATAACTGCTATAAGGAAGATATTATTATTGTATATCTTTGCAAGCCCATAACAAAAGCATTTTAAAGTAGTCTTAACAGCAGTTCCTGCATTGACAGTGTCACTGTTAACTACCAGAACAGCCCAAAACTGAGTCTTTTGGACTGACACGTTTAATAAACAGATTTATCAGTTTTGCATGTTATTGTCTCCCTAGCAGACATACTGATGTATATTCACAATTTCCGAGCTCTCCAAAGTCATGACATCCCTGTCGCCCTGAGAGCAGTGTGAACAAGTCCTATGACACTGCGGATGCCAGCTCAGAGGTGCACAGTAGTGGCTCACCTGTGGCTTCCTTTTACCTGCCTGTCCACATCAGAGCAGCGACTGAACAGCTAAGGCAGGTTGGGGGGACCTGTGACTGCCAGCCCGCTTGCTGGCCCATCTGAAGCAACGGTTTCTACATCAGTAAGAGAAAGAAACTTAAGGAAAATCCCAAAGCTCACAGCCTTTTCCCAATGAAAAAGGAAAAGGTGTTTTCATAGTGCTTTATCTAGAAAAGCCTTTGTGTGCCTAACGATGTCTTCATGTGTTTATAATTTCTCCTTGATTCCTTTATTTTACATGGACTTAAAGCTCAACCATCACCCCACACACACATTTTCATGGTCCTCCAGCTCTATCATGACAGTGTAGTCTACTGTATGGAAAAGTTTTTGTCTTTTACTGTTAGTGAGCGAAATCATTATGTTGAAACATTGTGGTTATAGGAAGAAGAACTTGGTTCAAACACTCTTTTTTATTAACATAAGGAGGTCAAAATTACATACACCAGATGTGTTTAGCTCCCTACACCAAATGTGTCAGACTGGAGCTTTCTAGAACAGGGTTTCTCGAGTTTTATCCTCTTCACTTTGGCTGTAAGAAGCTACAATTTTTTCCCTTACTTCCCAGGATTCAGGTTAGCATTCCAAAAAGAACATGTGCAAAACCGAACAAACAAAAACTAACAAAAAAAGCAAAGCAGACAAACAAAAACTGTCGTCTCTTTGAGTCTAAACAAATGCTCTTGTCTTCTATTTTTTCATGAATCTTGTGTTTAAATGAGAGTTCTTTTCTGAAAGCTTTCCAGTGTGATAACCACACATCCCAAGAGAGCTAGAGGCTTTTGCAAGCTAAAAAAAAAATAATAATAACTTTCCAAGGAATTTGATTAAGACTACATCCCTAAGCAAGCAATTAGGTACCCTTGTATCTGACACACAGAAATGAGAAATAGAAATCCATAGGCAGTGCCCTTTTTTTTATTAGAGACACTATTACTTCAGCTGTTTTTGTTTTAAAGTAGGGAATGGTATCACTGTTTATTCTAATTAGAAAATACGTGAAACCTCCACAAGGTTCGAAATCCCAGGGTAATATGAGACATTCTGTAGGTTTGGTCTCTGCCTTCTTTCCAGGCTTTGTGAGAAACATTTCCATATTCCCATCTAAACTTCAAAAACTGATGTAGAGTTTAGCATCCATCAGTTTTCCTTGGCCCTATTTCTTCAATATTCTTATTTTCCCCCTGCATCCTAGATGTTTAATCCACTTGTTAAATTAAGTAGCACAGAAATAGGGCTATCTTTATAATAATCTGAAGACCAAATCTATCAATTTATCCTAGATTATGAGCAATTAAGAAAATGTAAGACTTAAAAACACTTAACTAAGACTTAGGGCGGGTGGTTCAGTTGGACTCCGATACTTAGTAATTGTTGTAATGCAGAGTAAGAAGTAATCCTCTCAATTGTCCTTAGAACCTCTTTATAATAAATAGTACAAACCTTGCCCAACGGTCTAAATGTTGTATCGTTCTGTCTTCATGACATTGTTGACATAAGGCACTTCTGTTCATTTTGAGTATGTTTTCTCAACCTTGTACTCTTAAGAACCATTAAGGACTTCTTGTTTCACATGTCCCCTGCTAAAAAAAAAAAAAAAAAAAAAAAAAAAAAAAAAAAAGTTGTACTTTCTGCTAAGCACCAGTTTTTTTTGTTTGTTTATTGTTGTTGTTTTATTGTACTTTAGGTTCTGGGGTACATGTGCAGATGATGTAGGATTGTTGCATAGGTACATACACGGCAAGGTGGTTTGCTGCCTCCATCCCCCGGTAACCTATATCTGGCATTTCTCCCCGTGTTATATCTCCCCAACCTCCCCACCCTCCCACAGTCCCTCCCATAGTCCCACCCCACAACAGACCCTGGTGTGTGATGCTCCCCTCCCTGTGTCCATGTGTTCTCATTGTTCGACACCCACCTATGAGTGAGAAAATGCAGTGTTTGATTTTTTGTTCTCGTGTCAGTTTGCTGAGGATGATGATTACCAGATTCATCCAAGTCCCTACAAAGGACACGAACTCATTTTTTATGGCTGCATAATATTCCATGGTGAATATGTGCCACATTTTCCTTGTCCAGTCTATCATCGATGGGCATTTGGGTTGGTCTTTGCTATTGTAAACAGAAGCACCAGTTTTATTTAAAAGTAAATAAATTGTTTTTAAGTAATTGCTTGTATAATATAAATTGGTGTTTTTCAGTTTGATTCTTAAACTGTCAACATTTGAATTACGTAGATCTCTGGGCATGGGCCCAGGAATTTGCATTTTAGCAAGTGTCTGGTTGGTAACTTTGCACACTCAAATAT